TGCTGAGGGGAACAGAAGTCTTATTGACGGTTACAGGAATCGCTTGATTGCTGTGATTGAGTCAAGAGATGGAGGAACAAAAATATTAAGGATACCATCATTGTTTTCCAGGCTTGTTTCATCAGAATTGTTTTTAAATAATTATTTTAAGCGGGGCTGAATAGAAATGTATATCTTTCATTTGTTTATTTTCATTGATTTTTTAAATGTATATTATTTTTATTGGATTCAAGTTATTTCTCTGATCTTTAGGTTTTTTTTATTTCATTGAATGTGGCATACCAACACTTTTGTTTATGTGCATAGAAGGCTGTTTCTGTTGGAGATTTTTTTTTTTAGCAGTAAATCATCTTAATAGTTCCACCTGGACTAGGAAAAGACAATAATAATATGTAAAATAATAAAAGTTTGGCTCTTCTTCAACAATGACTGATTACAGCTCATTTAGCCCCATGGTAACAGAGTTTCTCTGGTTTTCACTCCAAGCTTACGGTTCTTGGAATGAAAGCCAGTCATTCATTAAAACCTGTTAGTCTTCCATTTAAAAGTCCTGGTCAGGTAGTGTGAAATACATATCAAACATGTAAATGTATGGGTGAGCAGACTCTTACTCTGTATGGTGAACATCTTGACAGAGTCAAGTCATTTATTTCTGTTTCTTGGACTTATGATGGATGACCAACTTAGATATGCTCAACATTAAGATTGATATTTGAGCCTTTAGAGCTACCCCAATTCCTACACTTTTGGTTGAATCAGAGGAAACCCTTTTAGATTTAAGATGTATAAAAGTTGGGGCTAAACAATATATTGTATGGTGAAGTTAAAGGGGGCTGGAGAAGCACTAATAATGATGTTGTTACCCCAGCGAACTGGCCAGTAAGTGTACATTGGTTGTGGCCTAATCTAGATATTCATTTTAGTAAATGAGTTCAGGAAAGATGTAAAGGATGTCTGGTGACGACTTTATGAAAACATATTTTTTTCCATCATTTCAACATCAGAAAAGAGAGTTTTTGGCGAAAAGATGAGCGGAGGTTGGCTAGGCTTAGGCTGGGATATTTTGGGTTAAACAGTTTCTCCATGTGATGGGTGATGTGTGTTTTGTGGCATCTATGAAATAGTTGTTCATGTGATGTTGCTGGGACCTCTGTACTCAGTAGAAAGAAGGATTATCTTTAGTGCATTGACTGCTCTGGGATGCAATTGATTTTAATTTAACTTTATTGATCTCATTTTGGAGAAATTTACCTCTGCATTTAAACCACCCCCTTGGGGAGCAGAGGGCTGCCATTGTGTAGCACCCGGGGAGCAGTGTGGGGTTAAAGCAGTGGTTCTCAAACTTTTTCTGTCATTCCCCACTTTGGACAAGGGGGAATTTTCAAGCCCCGCCTGTCCCCATCGCCCCAACACAATGCTAATGAAATATTCAACAATCTTAAAATGTTCCAATTTTATTGAAGTAACAAGTAGTATCTAAATACAAATCTACATCAAATAACAGCAAGCTCAAAAATAAAGAAAATAAAAATGCAGCTGTGTCAAAATTTGTATCAAGCTCAAAGATAGAAAAAATTAAAGTGCCACTCTGCAATCTGTTAATAAAAGAAAAGAAGTGAAATCCATCTGGCAAGACAGGTCTATTTATCCCTGCATTAGTGGCTGCAATGAGCCTGTTTTGCATTGCAGTTTCTCAAAACGGGGTTGCAGGCTTGATACTGCCACTCTCAAGTCATGCTCAATGTTCTGCTGAGATCTGTATTTTGTTTTCATTGAAGCAGCAGCTGAAAAGCCCATCTCACAGAGATATGATGTGGCAAAGGGAAGAAGAATGCACACAGCTCTCTGCCCGATGAGTGGATACTCCCTCTCCACTCCTAACCAGAAACATGAACATGTGGCTGTGTGAATCAAACGCCGTTATTTATTTAAGATAAAATATTTCAAATTCAGTTATTTATGATCAACCTGCGCCGTCAATCCCGGCGCATGTGCGCTTTATTTGCAGTCTGGACGCAAAAGTTAAACATGCTGTGTCTCTGCTCTGACTGCAGCGCTGATAGGGACTCCTGCGATAGCGGGGGAGAACGGGGTGGGGATGGGGGAGGCGCCCCACGGCAGCACCTGCCGCTGGAGGACAAGAAAAGGAACGATACGTGCTTTCACGTAAGAGTCTCCAAAAGGCGCTAGATTTGTTTTTTTGAAAAAGAGTCGCTGGAGGGGTCTGAAATATAGCGACAAAGTCGCTGAGTTGGCAACACTGGGGCGCGAAAGTTTATTCTGTTACAAATAATATGCAGACGTCACGTCAATCATTATTTTGGCACTTCAGTTCCAGGGGAAATTTTTCTCATATCTAATGTTCTTTTAATTAGACTGCATGTAGGCTAGTAATGATTACTTTGTGGGTTTGATTGGTCTAAAAAGCGGCAACATACAGCTATAAGGACAGTTTGCTCTCACACGTTCTACATTTATAGTCACACACACACACACACACACCGGAACTTGGCGCGCCCCACCTGTCACGTCTGAATTCCCCACCAGTGGGTCGCGCCACACACTTTGAGAACCGCGGGGTTAAAGGGTCTTCCTCAGAGAGCCAGAATGGAGGCTGTGGGGATCGAACTGGGTACTTGTAACCTTCTCAGCCAACACTCCCCATTTTCATTAAGAGCAATATTGTTATATGGAGCTTCCCCAAAAATGGAAGGTAATTTGGGTTGTCTTTTAAAAAAACAAAAACAAAAAACAAAAAAACAACTGGAATATATTGGAAAATAGAGGAGTGTTGGCTCTATTCTAATAATAAAGTTTTGATAATTGTTTATACGTTATGACCTGAGGGGGGCAGCACTGCACTCAGTATGCCTAGACTGCCGGAAATCAAGAAACGAAGAAGTGGAGGTGTGGAGTCATACATCCGTCCAGCAGGTGGCGATAATAATTCTTTCTGGCCTGATAGGAAGCAGACTGCCTGGACCTGCTAGCAGAGCTAGCTTAGATGTGTTCTCCTGTCGTTAAGGCTGCTTATTTCTGTGTCCGTAGCAACCATGTCTTCAGCTCAGCCTTTAAGGGAGTTTATCAAAGATAGACTGACCGCTGCTGCAGAGGAAATATTCACAGAGTTTGATAATATTATCGTCCAATATGAGGAAGAGCTGGATCGTCAGCGCAGACTGCTGGAAATCTGCTTGAAACCCCAAATAAACCTTCAGAGTATTGGTATGAACGATGCTTAAAAATCTTCAAAGAAAACCATAATGTCTAAAGTTCTTGAAACTTAATAAGAAGTAAAAAATTCATATGATTATTGCAATGTTTGTGGTAAATAAGAAAAATCGCACATATAATGTATCTCAAATGTAACCCTTTTGATTTCAGAAGGCAAAATTTAGCTTTTTGTTTGTTTTTTGAAACATTAATTTAGAATTTATTATTTATTATGAACATATGACAGTCATTTTTACATTCTGTTTTAAGCTGTCTATAAGAAATAGGTTTTGAAGGTTGGGTTACTAACAATAAAATCTTACTGGAGAGCTTGTCTGATGTTTATAAACATAAAGAAAGGGTCAGCTTTTCGATTTTATTTCTGTTAGCAGATCTGTCTATAGTTACTCAAAAATTTTAGGGTTCAATGTTTTTAAAAGCCTCTTGAGTTACATGATTTTTTCTCACCATCATGTACTGTAAATCAAAACATTCCTTTGCTTGCTTGTCCAGATCTTCCATGGCATTATGTCTGCAAGGAGGAGGAGGAAATCAACGACCTGCAGTTCTGCCACCAGAACAGAAATTCCATTATGAGTCCTCAGCAAACAAAAGAGATGCAGGTTGAAGCAGAACCTCAGGAGGAAGTGATGGATGTAGAACTCCCACAGATAAAGGACGAAGAAGAGGAATTTGTTATTGGTTTGGAGAAAGAGCAGCTTGAATTGAAGCAGGAAACTGATACCATTTCGGTAAATTCTACTTATGGGGAAAAAGACCATAGAGACCAACACCTTGTTCAGATCTCTTGTGAATCCGAGAACCAAGAGATAAGAAATGACTCAGGATCAAATAAAGAACCCAAACAGAAAACAAGTCATCAAAGCATCAGAGGTTACAATGAGAGTGTAAAACTTCCAAATGTAAAAAGATGTAAGATAACAAGCACAAATCAGAATCTCTGTTCTTGTAGATTTTGTGGTAAACTTTTTGGTCGGACTAATTTTCTTAAACATGTCAGAACTCATACAGGGGAAAAGCCATTTTCCTGTGTGACCTGCGGAAAAAAATTTAGTCAAAGCGGTCATTTGAAGGTTCATATGAGAACCCACACCGGTGAGAAACCTTTCTCGTGTTTAACTTGTGGAAAAAGTTTTACCATGAGTATGGCATTAATCCGTCATACGAGAACCCACACGGGTGAAAAGCCTTTCTCATGTGTGACTTGTGGAAAGAAATTTAGTCAAAGCTGTCACTTGACTGTTCACATGAGAACCCACACAGGTGAGAAGCCTTTCTCATGTTCGACTTGTGGAAAAAGTTTTACTGTGCAGATTTCTCTAACCCGGCACATGAGAACGCACACAGGAGAGAAACCTCTGCCATGTACCATCTGTGGAAGACATTTCGGTGAAGCAGGAAATTTAGCTCGACACATGAATATCCACACAAAGAATTTAGCCCTCATTCCGTAAAAGTTTAAAAAATAATCCACTGGACCTGGTTTCCAAGGTTTGAAGACATTTCATCTATTTCGACTCAAACTCACTGCGAATCCAGACATTTGAATTGAGAAAGCTTCCTGGAGGGGAAGCGAAACGTCTTCAAACCTTGGAAACAAAGTCCAGTGGATTGTTTTTTTTTTACTTTTACGGAATGGCTATGACCTGGATGGCTGAGAATCTTCATCAGCAAATCTAGCCCTCAGTCTTTAACCTTGGTTAAAGAGTTTGATGGGTTAAATTGGCAGTTTAAATATATTATTATAATATATATATTATGTTACTATTTTTTTAATATAATACATATATAAATGTATAGAAATAATATGATCTAAATATTCTAACATTTTTAATGATATATTTTATTATTTAAAGGAACATTACCAAATTGTGCGTTTTATAATTTATTAGAATGTTAAATTATTCAATGATGTTAAATAAATAATTTGTACATCTACGGTATGTTTGTGTAATGTTGCATTCAGATTTATTTATCAAACGGTATATTCATTTATTTGATTTTCTCTATTTTCACCCTCAATATTTAATAGAATGTGCTGATATGAGCAGTTAGGGTCTGATATCTAGTTAACTCAAGTAAAATTACACTTTCTTTTCCAAATACCAATTTCAGTATGTTGTTTACTGTTCCAACAATTAATATAGAGGCAATAAATCCTATTTTCATTAAGTTTGCGGCTCTCATAAGCAATTACAAAATGTATGAAGAAAAGATCTAAAAGGGTTAATTATAGTTAAAGATACTTAATTGATCCTGAAGGAACATTAAACAAATGTATTTCTGCTCAATGACTGTAAGAATCTAAATAAAAAATAGAAATGAAGATTAATAATCAGCCGTTGGAATCAAACCTCTTGTTTTGAACCTGGAATGTGCCATTTGTATTTTTCTCCAGCAGGTGGCAACAGTGAGTTGAGACGCTACTTAGAAACCCCTGCGTCAAACATGAAGAAGAATCTTAGCTTCCACTGGCAGATTGGATGAGTGAGAATTTTCACCTGCACACTCATTAACAGAGTTAGCTTTGCTTTGTTGTTTTATGTGTCTTTCGAGCAACAATGCCCACCTCTCGGTCGCTGAGAGAGATTATTCGGGCGCGTCTGACCGATGCTGCTGAAGAAATATTCACAGAGTTTGATAAAATCATCGTCAAGTATGAAGAAGAGCTGGATCGTCATCGAAGGCTGCTGGAAATCAGCTGGAAACCTGAAACAAACCTACAGAGGATAGGTATGAACCATCAGGGACACTACTGGGGTTTTACTCTTCTCACACCTGCAGAAAAGTCCCTTCGATCGCACTTTACGGTCAAAATTATTATCGTAAAACCATATTTTATAATGTAACTGAGGAAACGGGGGTTAAATTGAGATGAAATAAAGATTAATGACAAGATCTTTTGATTTCTTTTCTTCTCCATTTCACTAAGTCAAATCCGCTGCCTGTGTTCTCACGATGCCTACAATTTACATTCATGAAAGACAATCCCCATCTTCCATAGAGCCATCTTGTTCATTTTTTTGTTCATGCTGTAAGTTGTGATTCTAAAACATATTATTCATATTTGCTGTTGAACTTCAAACATAAAGCCAACATCAGTTTCTCACATGTTTAATTGCTGTTGATTAATCTGATAAAAACACATTGCATACTTTAGATTTAGTAGCTGAATAAATGAAAACCTCTACCCAACTTTCTTTTTTCTCATCTCCTATTCATATTTGGAGAAACCATTTGCAAAGATAACTCAAAAAGTCAATATCTGCTTGTCATTTTGTACTTCTCGTTTTTAGTACAGGAAAAAAAAACGATTCACTTCCATTTTTTATTTTAGACCACAGTCAACAATGAAATATCAAACCTTCATTATGGCAAGGATTAGCTCAGTCAAAACAAAATTAACATTCACAAATACCATAATATTTGGGACAGGGGGCCCAAAACAGGGAGCTTTGGTCTCTCTATCATTGGCACTCAATTTGTAGCTTAAACTGACGTCCTACTGCTGTTAGCCATGGACTCCTTATGTGTGGTAAAGGTCTTCACTCAGGTACCCAATGGGTTGTGGTGCTTTCTGTTCTGCTGGATTCAGCAACTTCTGGCTCATTATAGACTTTAATGTCTATAATACAAGAAATCTGTTTAAAAATCAAATTAGAAATAATTATTATAAATATACTGAGACATACAGCTCTTATTCAATATAGTCTTAATTTTACTCGAAGAAAGAATCAGTTTAGTCCAACACAAATCTCCTAAGAAGTTGGTAGCATTTTTACCGTGGGGCTTTTAGTAAAGCCCAATTAGTATGTCAATAAAAATAATCTGGATCAGTCACTGCAATTTTCTTATATAAACAAAATGTTTTCAATCAGCAGTGTGTGCTCATTTAATCATGATCAAGACTATTAAGGACTATAAAAACAGGAGTAAAAAGTAACAGAGTTTATTCCAGATCAGGTCGTTACAGGACAGAGAAAAATGCTTAGAGCTTGCACAGCTGTGGTCTCAAAAATCACGTCCGCGAGCGTCCGGCAAAGTTTGAGCCCCGAACAACATCATCTGCTTCTTATACCTTCTGAGTCTGTGTTGCATCATGTGGATGCTTAGCTGTCCGTATCAGAAACTGACACGCCATCCATGTCTTGAACTCCATGCAGCTTGCTTCTATGCTTCAGGGTTACAGATACAGTAGCTCTCCTCTCAGACCGGCTCCAAGATGTGCCCATATTCTGTGTATTCTTAAAGACACGAAGGCTGTCCCGATTAGATGACCTCCGTACACACCTTGACATCCACAATGTGAAGGAAGGCCTTCTGCTCTGTCTAATCTGACTAACAAAATAACAATGCACATGATGTATAAATAATAAAACCTAACAATGTTAATAAACATTTCATCCCTTTTCCTGTTCAGAAAACCAACAGCAAATTGTCCAAAGGGAGGATAGACTTCATCTTCACCATTGTTTCTGCAACCAGCAAAGACTCAACCAAGAGGAACCAGGGCCTCCACAATTAAAATACCGACAAGAAACAGTCAAACCTCTCCAGATTCAAGAAAACAACGAAGAACTAGATCCTGTGGGGGGAGAAGAAAACCCAGATGAAGGTGAAGCAATACAGATTGTCGAATACCAGGTGGAACCAGCATCACCCACGATAACGGATAATCAAAAAGCAGCGCCTTGGGAGCTAAAAGAGGATCAAGCAAAACTAGAATTTCTGAAAAGAAGAGTGGAACAGGAGGAGCCAGAATCTACAGAAATAAAGGATGAACAGGAGGAACTCTGCATCAGTCTAGAGGAAGAGCTTGAAATCAAGCAGGAGAGTGATACCCAGTGTTGGGAAAGTTCTCTTTCTACGTGAACTAGTTCAAAGTTCAGTTCACACATTTTAAAATGAACTAGTTCAGTTCATAGTTCATAATTCAAAACCAAAAAATGAACTAGTTCATAGTTCTTTTTTTTTTTCATATATTGCTCAATTACTCCATAGCCTACTGTAGAACCACAGACAGCAATTATTTTATCAGTTATAACTCTGAAACTGTGCGTCAGATTTCATCTTCATATCCAGTTTTGAATCCTTATCCAACCAGGGTTTACATTAGCATTGAGGGGACAGCATTTCCCCATTGTTGCTTTAACGCTTTGTTGCTGTCCATTCACTTCACACTAGTAGCAGCTGCAGCTTTCACCCCTACAGTATATTCTCAAAAACATCAGGAAAAATGTGCTGCTTGAATGGTCTTTTTTATGAGTAATTATTAAAAGAAAAATAGGAAAGTAGTCTTTAAGGTGCAAATGTTTTTTTTTTATTTTAATAATTTTTTCCATTTGAAATTCCATTTCAATACATACTAAAAAGGAATCCTGGAAAATTATACCAGGCAGGTTTAACAAACAAGTTACATGGATAGTAAAACCCTCAAGAACAGGGGTCTTCTATGTTTTCCAGACCAAGGACCCCCAAACTGATGGAGCGGGGACCCCCTAACTATATATATTGTATGAAATTGTGTCCTATAGTCACTCTATTACAGATGGAGTAATGTAAAGAAATTAACTTCTCCCTGGGATTATTAAAGTTTTTCTGATTCTGATTCCTGGTTGTTGTGAAGGAAACGGTGCCCAGCTTGAAAGAGCTCCTGTGTGTCGCTGAATGTGTGCATTGATGACTGAAAGACATCTTTTGTCTCCATTTATCTGTTTACTACAGCGTGTTGGTTTCATGTTAATGTGGATTTAAAGACATTTCAATTAGTGGGGGAAAAAATTGCAGGGGGGCAATATAAAAATATCAACTAACCATGCAGACCCTCATGCAGTACCTCCGTAGACCCCCTAGGGGTCGCGGATCCCCTGTTGAAGACCTCCGCTCAAGAAGATTTTACTAACACAAACTGAGGGACCAGGCTGAGGTAGGAATTTAAGGTTACTGAAGTGCGGATTTTTTTACTGAAAGCCGGCGGGCAAACTTGTTGCCATCGTCCTCACCGACCACCTGGTCATAAACCTGTTTTAAGTGATCATACTGCTGTTTTGTCGCCTCCACGGTAGCCTACATGCTGCTGTAGCTTCCGCGCTGCATTTTGTTTTGATGACGCACGCGGCTGTAGGCTACGACGCTGGTAGCTGGTGTTGCCAGATTGGGTGTTTTCCCCGCTACATATTAAGGCCTGTTTATGGTGTGATTTAGCCGGGGTTTCGCCTGGAGGACTCTATAGAAATCTGGCAACCTATTGAACGGAGCTGAACTGAGAGAGCGTGCTGTTCACAGACACCAGAATGAACGAGTTCACAATAACGTTCACCAGGCAGTAATACGGTACGTTCAGTTCACGTTCGCCCAAAATATGAACGAGTTCATGAACTTTCGTTCAATGAACGCGTTCAGGCACAACACTGGTGATACCTTTGTTATAACTTATGAGGAAAGAGGAACGGACGCAAACAGCAACAAGCTGCATGAAAACCAGTATAATAAAATAATTGATGCTGAGGGTTCAGGATCAAATGGCGATGGGGGTAGAAGTGACAAAGGAGACAACCTTAGACTAAAAGAACAGAAAAATAAACACACATCTTGTTCCTGTAAAGTTTGTGGAAAACGTTTAGCTCGTACCTATTTAACTGAACACATGAGAATTCACACGGGAGAAAGGCTTTTCTTGTGCACAGTCTGTGGAAAAAGTTTTCGGCAAAAAAGTCATTTGACTGTTCACAACCGAATTCACACAGGAGAAAAGCCTTTCCCCTGCGTGATTTGTGGAAAAAGTTTTACCCTACTAATGATTTTAAAAAAACATAAGAACTCACACAGGTGAAAAACCTTTTTCCTGTCTGACCTGCGGTAAAAGTTTCAGGCATAATGGAACCTTATCTCAGCACATGAGAACTCACACTGGTGAGAAGCCTTTTCTCTGTTTAACTTGTGGAAAGCCATTTAGTGATAAGAGAAATTTATCTCGACACATCAGAACTCACACAGATGAGAGGCCTTTCTCATGTCCGACTTGTGGAAAAAACTTTCGTCAAGGAGGTCATTTGACTGTACATATGAGAACTCACAGTAAAGAAGATGTATTTGTGTGAAATCTGCGGTGCGTGTTTCACTCAAAGTGTTGATTTAACTGATTACACAAAAACTCACTGAGGTAAGAAGGTGTAAGCTTGTTTCTCAGAAGGGGTATTTCATAAAGCCCTGCTAAGAAGTCTTTTGATTAAATCAGTTTATTTCATAGGCTCAGTCTCCCTTCATTAGGTTGCATTTTCCATATGCAAAGTAGATGATCTCCCTGTGTATCAGGCAGTGGGTGTTTTCTCTAAAAGACACTAGTCTACTAAGTAATCTATAAAATACCCATACATTTTTATAATGCATGTTTATGTGATCTCTCTATGTGGCATGGTCCTGATCCCCATCTGGTTATGGCCAGCTAGTTCTGCCTATTTACTTGTAAGATTCGTGCACTGATATAAACCAAGGGCGTAGGTTTGATTTCAACTTTGGTAGGAACACCATTGGTCTTCAGTTTCATTGCTCTGATGTCATTGGTCCTATGCAAAAATATGCATGCTCTTTTTTATGCTTAATGTGAGCATCAGGACACTTTTTGTTTTTTTGAAGAGAACAGCAGCATTTCTTCCTACATTAATACAAATCTTATAAAAGGGTTCCCACGGGTTCTTAAAAAGTCTTAAAAGGCATTGAATTTGATAGCGGAACCAATAAAAGCGTTGTTGTTTTCGCGACATTTGGGAGATGCGCCATTTACTTTTTGTCTGGAAAATATGAGCAAGTGTAAATGTAACAAAATTGGTTATCCAGCCAAGAGTTTTCTCCATGGCTAAAACCAGTACCAGGGAACATACATGAGGCACAATGGATTTTGTGCAAGAAGCTATTCAAGCTCGGAAAGATGGGAATTAAGGCAGTTCCACCCTTGTCTCTGCAACGCCTCCACTTATCACCAAATCAAACATACTAAGAAAATGATACAAAGAAAAATAGCTGCAAAAAAGACTTAACACTGGTTATGTTGTGGCCTTAAAAACGGATTTGTTTTGTTCCCTGCTAAAGCAAAGTTTTTGAATTCAATTAAATAGTTGTTAAAATATATCTGTCATCTGTGTGGTTTTAGCTTTCTTCCTGTATGGGAAGCTTTTCAAAATTTTAAACATTAGTGCAGGGATTTATGTTAAAATAAACCTTTGGGTTAAGTTGTCGCAAGCAGGTTTTTCTTGTGTTTCTTGTCAATTTGGTCTTAAATTTTTATTTCAAGTGGCATTAAAAAGTTTTAAGTCTTGAATTTAACTTGCCTTATGCTGAAAGAACCCTGTATAAGCACTACACTCACTAGATGCTGTTTATCAATGTTTAAAGCATCACTGGCTCTGATGAATGTGCAATTAGGACTTTTTTCCACTTTGAAAAGGTTTGCATTTAAACTTACCAGCGACTAAGTCAGTGTCTATTTAACCAAATATAGTGTAATTATGTCTGTTATATGTGGATTTATCCTGTGTTTTCTTTTGAAGATATAGAATTGTGCAGAGGTAAACAGAAGTAAACCCCATTCCTATTTTTATCTAATATGCTCTCTCTGTGTCATGCAAAATAATACATTCAACGGACAGCAAATAAATGTATTGTATTTACATGTGCACTGGAACTATAAGAGGAACTGACACTGAGCATTTTGAAATATTAACTTCACTATATAAGTTGTACATCTGGGCTGTAGTCACTCTGTGTAGCCCATTTCATGTATTTTATCCAGGGTTGAAACAATCATATTAACCGATTATTTGAATAATCGTCAACTAATTTAGTAATTGATTAATCATTAACTGGAGTATAGGGCCACTAAAATGTGCCATTAGCCGACAGAGTGACCCACTTAAAGCAGGAAATATACCAAGATTGTAAAAAATATGTAAACATTTTGCATTTGTCTGTCAATATTCTCCATTCAGAACTCCTCAAGAGGAAACATTTCTGTTTCACCTGGTTTCATTTTGTAAAACATCTTCTTTAAGGAGTCTTTGGCTTTCTGATTAAAAGATAAAATAAAAGAAAGCCTAACGTTGTTAACGTACATTTCCCAGGGTTCCACAAATCAAAAAACTCTGTGCAATCAGAAGCGTTCCCCTGTTTTAGCGTAGATAATATTTCGTTTTTTAATTTGGACTACTTTCGTAGCCTAATATTAATTTAAGTTTTTTTTTATATATATACATAGGTATAGGTATATATATATATATATATATATATATATATATATATATATATATATATATATATATATATATATATATATGTATATATATATATATATATATATATATATATATATATATATATATGTATATATATATATATATACATTAAAATTACCTTTGGGGAAAGGGGAAAGAAAATCAATTATTAAGAGTTAAAAAATGGCAAAAATGGTGGAATGAAGATAAGAAAGAAAGAGCATTATATAAAATACGAAGGTCAGTATTAAATACAAATATTAATAAGAGAAACAGAAGGGAAGAAGTAATAATGATCAGATTAAAAGTGGGTCATACCTATTTAAATGACATTTTATATTTAATAGGGAGGGGGAATAGTGATAAACTTGAAGGATGTGGAGAGAAAGAAAACGTGGAACATGTACTGATGAACTGTAAAACTTATGAACCTGAAAAGGGAGAAATTGAGAAGAATGGTTGGAAGGAGAGGAAAAGAATGGAGTCTTAATAGAATATTGGGAAATGAAGGAATTATAAAGGAGATTTACAGATTAAGGAAAACATTATTTATTTATCTTGTTATTATGGATTGTACAAAATTAAAAAACTGAATTTGATAGATGGGACGTGATGTTGCTACACACTCATGTACAGTAGGGGGCGGTATGCGCCTTAAGTGCCTTGCGATCCGCCATATTAGAACACAAGAAGAATGCCACGTTAGCCTATGTCATCCCACGAAGCACCGTTAGTCGGATGATTAGATTTGTTAATTTCTGTTTCTGCAGCCACAATAATGTCTTTAGCTCAGTTTCTGAGAGGGTTTATCAAAGAGCGGCTGGACGCTGCCGCCGAGGAAATATTTACAGAGATTAATAAAAAAATCGTCCAGTACGAGGAAGAGCACAAACTGTTGGAAATCTTATTGCAACCTCGAATAGAAATACAGAGAATAGGTAAGCTAACAATCATCAGGTGTATTAATGTTTTTTTTTTATTGATCGCTTTGCTAAAATTAAGTCTTGGAGTCATTTTATTGTTTAACTGTGAGCACTTGAAAATTGAGTGAGACCTGTTGCTCAATACTGCCACCTACTGGATCTGAAACTATTGCATCAGACACACAAAGATGAATTAATTTATACAGTCATTTCATTAATTGTATGATGTATTATTATATAGGTATTTTTTTTAAAGATAACTGGGTTTAATTGTTAATTTGAATTATCTTTTAAATATAGAACCTATAATATGAATGTGTCATAGTCTGAAGCTTTTGTGGATTGATTGATAGTTTTTTTTTAACAGATATTTTATTGAAAGAAAAAAAGTTGTTACATTAGAAAGAAATTTTAACAGGATGATCTTTAAAAAGAAAAGCTTGTAAAGTGCTGCTTACAGTATCTGTAAGGGTTTATCAGTGTTAGGTATTTCACAATGACTGGGGACCTTTAGTTTGCATTTTCAGATTACAAGGCAACAGTGATACCGAATGTCCCACCATGCAGCCCCAGTAACTTTTCTGTTTTCTAAATTTCAAAAGCAGATCATTTAAAATTAAGTTTACTTATAATCTAATTCACAACACATGTCATCTCAAAGGGCACTTTACAGAGACATTTTCACTTTTTGCCTCAAAGTTTTCTATCCAAAACAAAATCCATCTTTTTCCATTTTTATACATTTTTGAAAAAGGTCCAGGAAGCCGCAAGGGGGGCATTAAGAAGGAGGTGGTCAATGACAAGCTGTTCTGTAATGGGGAGAGGAACTTAAGTTTGGACCAAGAAAAACCAGATCTGCAGCAGAGAGAGAAGGAAAAAGGCCAGGACCCGAAAGAAATAGAACTTGTGCAGATTAAAGAGTGCATGGATGAAATAGAAATTCAGGAGATGAACAACAATGAAGAAGGACCAGAATCTTTCCATGTTAATGAGGAACATGAGGAATCAGAGCCTAGGCAGATAACAGATGAAAAGAAGGATTTTGAACCTTGTCATATGGCAGATGAACACCAGGTCCCAGAAACTATACAAACTAAAGAGGAAGAGATCGATGTCAGTTTGGAGAAAGACCAACTTGGGCTGGACCAGCAAAGTGATACATTTACAGTCAATCCTCCTTATGAAGAAAGAGACCACAGTGAACCAAATCCAAATGGAAATGTTGTCATCCAGATTGCCTCTGAACTCGAGAACCAAAAGCTGCAAAGTAGATACAATTGTGACTATGAAGAAAGTAAAGAGGAAGAGTTGAAGGAAATTGAGAGGTGCCCTGAAACCACAAGTCAAGGTGACAATGTACGCAGTTCAAAAGCAGTTGGTCACATGCGAATTCACACAGGTGAGAAGCCGTACTCTTGTTTGACTTGTGAAAAAAGGTTTTCCCATAAAGGCAGTTTACCCAGGCACATGAGAACTCACTCTCGTAAAAAGCCTATATCGTGTAAGATCTGTGGAAAAAGTTTCAAATGTGAAAGAGGTGTATCTTATCATATGACGGTTCACAGAGGTGAAAGGCCTTTCTCATGTGGCACCTGTGGAAAACTGTTTAGCCACCGTAGTAATTTGACTAATCACTCAATAACTCACACAGGAGAGAAGCCTTTCCACTGTATGTTCTGTGAAAAGCC